GTGAATCCGTGAACGCGCGTCCCTCGCCGTCGACGCTGCAACCGACTCCGGCGTCTCTGTTGGGCCAACGTCGCGCGCGTGTCTGTCGAGCCGTTCGCCTCACCTGTTGCAAACGCGTCGCCGGAGAACGACTCGCCGGCCGCTGCGAGCAGAAGAGGATCCGTGCCAGTTGACCGGGCGGCCTGCGTGATAATGTGAACCTCGGATATTCCGATAAGCGCGCGTTTTCGTTGAACCGACAGCGCGCAGGATTGGATCATCGCCGTTCGCTCGGGAGGGTTGGAACCAGTCCCGGGGGTGCGTTACGTCCGCGCAGCTGTTCGCGTGGGATCGGACCATTTGGGTGAGTTTGATCCGAGATTGATTGACGCGTCCGCGGCTTCGAGTGTTTTATATAATATCTTTTTAAAGATGGAAGTTTATTCGCCGTCCGATGTCGCAGCTTTTACGTTGCAACGTTGTTGGTTGCTTCATCTGAGGCTCGTCGGTGTTCTTTGACTCTGTTACTGGTCTGCGTTGCAGAACTCGTTTGCTTCGGCTCTATAATTATCGCGGCTGCCGCGAGAATTTTGAGTGCGTTGTGTAACATTACTTATTCTGTCATACGAAACTGAATAGGAACAATTATTACTTTGCACTCCGTTGCGGTGACATTGTTAGATAAGCTGGAACCTTCGTTTTCGATCGGAGATAACTTTCAAATGTATACGCGTTTGTTTTAATAACAAAGCAGGACCTTCAATCTTCCACAAAGGAACGCTTGTACTGTAAATAGTTCTAGATTATTAACTCAGCAGAAATGATTCGAAGTTGCTAAAAGATCGTATTAAAAATTAGAGTGCGAAGGGTTAGACATTTAATATCACAACTTTCACGTCACACTTTTATTTCCAGACGACTATCATTTAGTATCACAGTCCTTGCTACAGCGAAGTCACTGAACATTCTTATTCAACATCAGTTTCCTTATCATAATCGTTCCGAGACAATTGAGACGGTCCGGTTATCAGCGATCGCCGTAGCAGTTAACGCGTTGTATCAATCAACTTGTTTCGTGACCCCTGTCAACGACTACCCGTGACATTTACTCGAGAACCGTGCACGCGTGACGAGGAGCGATCCCAAAGTTTCCATAGGGAATTGTCCGTCGGTTTGTCGCGCGCGCGGATAGCGGGGCCGTTTATTACGGTGATGCGCCGGTGTATACGCTATCAACGAGCGCGCGTAAAAATAGACTGTTCCTGAGCGTGCCGAGGCCGGTTCCCATCCTGCGGCATGGGATCAGTCTAGTTTAACCGAGGATAGCTGTCACTAGTCGGAGGAAGCGGATCCGCTAAGTTCTCAACATAAATATGTATACCGGCCGATCCCCGTTCCACGATAACACGGGGAAAGCACGAAAGGGTTATTGAAGACAAGCACGCGATTCACCTTGTTGTCGAGCGCGACGAGCGGTGGCCGGTTTCGTATGCGGCCAATTAAGCTGTAATTGTTGCTCGACCCCTTGTCGTACGATCTCCTTCGCTACTGTGTTCGCTGAATACATTTTACTACTGATCATTCACGGAAAGACAGGGAAATCGTATGTTTACTCTATGCAGGCATTTATTGCGCAGATGAAATAGTATTGGTACTGGTATCGTTGCGATCCATGTGCGATGAATAACGGTAATTTTTAATAATAGGTCTTAAAGGCATCGTTACATGTGATTTCTAGTAATAAATTAATATAAACTGTGAGTAGAGCTAGCTGACGAGTTAAAACGACCCATTTGGAAAGGTTTATTTCACGATTATTGGACCTCTGAGAACTGTTTTGCGCGGAACTATAGAGCCAGTCTGTATATTCGCGTGAATACAACAGTAAGATGCCTCGATCCTCGAGAAACGTACTTTTTCAAGTTTTTCAAGGCATTACGAGGAACTCGGTGTAATTGCTCGGTAGTTGTAGCGTTAAACTAGAAATCCTCATCACGAGTCTCGTTCGTTGTTATGGCGAACAGTTGGAAAAAGAGCACGATGCGGGAACGTTACGTAACGCGAGATTCGGTTGTAACGATCCGGAGTTTCCGGTCCGATTCGTTCGACGTAGGACCGGCGAGCCATTGAACGGACCCCGCGGACGAAAAACGTCGTGACGAGGGTGAAACGAAAAGGAACGGGAATGGGAACGGATGCGTGAACGGCTCGCGGTGAAACAAACCGCGCGCGCCGGCATTTCTTTTCATGGAAAATGCATGAACCCCGCTTCCTTTTTCTCCTCCTTCTTGTCCTTCGTTTCTCCTTTTCTTCATCCTCGTCGTTGTTGTTGTTGCAGAGCTAACGAGTGAGTAGCTGCGGGCGTAGAGCGATCTCCGTTACTGGAATTCCACGGCGGAGCGGGGCGAACGAAAGATTCCGGCCGAACCAGGCCGAGATATCGAAGATACGCGGGCCACTGCAACGGCGTCGTTCGAGTCGCGGGTAAACCGAGCATCGCACAACCATAAACCCTCCACGCAGGGAACGGTACGTAAACGACCGTGGTCCGCCTCGTTCGCTCGCCGAGAAACTGTTCGATCGCTCAATCGTTGCATGTCGGCTCGAAAGTTCTCGCGGAACGATAGGGTACAAGCTTATAATGACATACGCGAAATATTGGGCGAGATCGATCGATTGTTTCGAAGATACGAGCCGTTCGAGTTGTACGTCGTGACGCAACGTCAATGGAAAATTGAATTGCTGAAACTACGCTCGCCGAGCGATGCAGTTGCGCGGATTCCACGGGGCGTAATACTTATCTTGCTTTGATTTCCACGGAAATGATAAATAGGGAATGCTAATGATAGATGCACCGCGCTCGATAAACTATCGTGAAGTCACGGTTTGGGGGATTCGGAGAACTTGAACATCGCGATCCGCGTTTGGAATTCGAGATTGACCATTTGACATTTGAAAGTTTGAAAATCGAACGTTTCCATTTGAACGCGGAATACCGGCAAATCCGTTCGCGTGACTATCGCGAATACCCGTTACAATTAGAGATACTTTCTTCGTAAAAAATGACACACATTCCCCGCTGCTGTTTCGAACGTGTGCCGTGCGACACGGCTATCGGCGCACGATTTTCCGGATACGTAGATTAAGTCGGAAAGCTTGCGAGAAAAATGGCATGGGACTTTTCAGCTGTGGCTCGCCTACCGTGACTAATGGCTGAACAGAACGGCACAAGCGGTCGTAATAAGTTGCCGTGAATGGAATTGCGAATTCAACGGGCGATGTACGCGCGTATCGGAACGAGAGGGTGAGAATGACGCGCGCCGTTGTTGCGTGACATGTTTCGCGAAATTTTCGTCGAGCTCGTACGAAAGAGCTTCTGGCGCGGAGCTGCTTCCGAACGCCAGATTCATTGACATCGGATTGTTGCAAGATTAACAGATATCCGTCGTATCGATGGTTGCATCGATAGACAAAGAAAATGATGTATATATATATTCGCATCGAACAGATTGGTTTCTCGAGTCTATCGTCTATCGAGTCTACCGATCGTTCCAGAACCGCAGAATGCAAAAAACGTTGCGAAGCTCGTCGTTGCTTCTCGAAGTCTCGATCAACACGGAACGGCACCGTGTATCGGAATACCTGAGGTGTGGTTTCTCTGGATCGTGGACCGCAGAGAAACGTATCCGCTTGGACGAGGGTATTTCAGCTCTAGAACTACCAAATAGATCAAAACGATACCTGACATCTCCTTTCGCAATTGCTAGAAAGAAGCGGACGCTTCTTCGAGAAACTACTGAAGAATTTGATCTGGTAACACATAAATGGAAACATAATCTTCGCGCGAGATCCCGCAAAGTCTTTGAATTCGTTGTGCAAGTGACGAAGCACGGGATTTACAGATCGAAGGGATCCAATCATGGAGAACGAGCGATACGTCGACGGTCGTTAGCGTCGCGGCTGCGCTTGGGAACGGAGAACGGCGAGATCGTCGGTACCGGAGGACGATCGCCGGTCGCCGAACGGCGGGTTAGACAAAACGACGGCGTGTTGTGTAACGGATCATCGGGCCGGGAGTTATCCAGTGGCATAACAATCGCGGACGTCGATCGATCCTGTACACAAAGCGCGGCGTTCGATCGATCCCTAATGGAAGCGAGCGAACAGGCGCAACAACCGTTCCGTGTGATCGGGCTCGGCGTCCATTTACGGGCCGTCCGTTCGCCCGTCAACTGTCACCCCCGACTTCATCCCATCCCGCGTGGTAATTAGAATGCGCGAGTTAAAACCGATTAAAACTCGCCGGTAGATATGCATTTGGAAAACGTACTGCCGCGTATTAGCAGCGCGTGACACCTACATGCCGATGGTGTACGTGTCGCAAGATGGCCGGGTCACTGCCTACATGGTGACACCCACTGACTTCTACCGAGTCGCAGCCTTCGCCGTCACGAATAATATACTGGTTGCCTTCTCTCTCTCTCTCTCTCTCTCTCTCTCTCTTTCTTTCTTTCTTTCGTTATCTCCCTCCCGTCCCCCCTCTCTATCCCGATTGTAATTTACGTCGATTAACGGTTACGCGAGCCGATCCACGGAGAAAACTCCGCGCAGATCGCGGGCCGTGTCTGTCCGGTGTTCGGTCGAACCGGTTGATCGATTCGAAGCCGATTGAGATCTCGGCGATCGGGAAATACGGGGTAGAGCACCTTTTATCCGGGTCTGCGCGGGTACTCGATCGTGGAACTTCCAGCTGCAAGGATCGCTGCGAGCGCACGCGTGAGTTCTATTCGATTTGCGAGGGTTCGACGTGATTTTTACGCGTACCCGCGTATGCGTCGCGCTAGGAACTACTGGAACTGTGGAAAGGAGAGAAAAGAATTCCGGGAAATGCTGAATCTCTCTTCCGGAGCTGAAACGATCGACGAGCGGAAACGAATCCGTTCTGTCCGCGTGCCTAGCCGGTGATCCCCTCCCTTCAGACGGGAAACGGAAGACGGTGATCTACGTCTCCGCGTCTGACGCTTTAAATATGCCTTTAAGTAGGATACGCGTACGCGCAGGCACCGGTAATGGCTTCCATTAATAGACGGAATCTCTGTTTTCCAGGCCGGCGGCACGTGACCGAGGATGAGTTCCCGATGATCGTCGGGCCCGGACCGTAGCCAGCGCACAGAGAATCCCGAAGATGGTGTACAGAGGCAGTCTGCAGACGGACGACCCGCGGGACGCGCCCCGGCTGGTCAGGATATCGCCGCTGCGCGCGAGCAGGCCGAGCAACAACAACCCTGCGCCGAACAACCGTGTCGCTTCCTCCGTGAACGCGCCGGTGTATCACGGCCCGTTTGTCTCGGCAATCGACGTACAACGAGCCAAATTGATCGAAGAAAGACGGCTGGGCCGTGAAAGGGACATCGAGTCCGTAGAGAAGGTCATTATGAGGACGACGGGGCTGAAGGTCGGCGCGCCGCGGCTGAGAAACATCAGTCAGATACGAGACACGGTGTTCGTCGATCCCGCGCTGGTGCCCATGGAGAAGATCGGCCGCAAGGAGCGAGATCGGCCGCGAACGATCGCCGTGGACAGCTCCCCGAGGAACCTGCGGACCCAGAGTTCCATGCTGGCCGATTTGAAGGATCTGGAGCGACTGAGGAACACGCCGCCGGCGCAAAGATGTCCGAGGACCTCGCTGAAACCCGAGTCGAAGCAAACGGCGAACAAGAAGTCGGAGCTGAACTCGGCGAAGATTCGCTCGGACATCATGAAGATCCAACAGATGTTCCAGGCGGCGGACAACAACCCTCGGACACCGGTCAAGACGGAGAAGAGGACGGACAGGAGGATCGACTCCGAGAAGCAGGAGAGGAAATCTGGAACGGAGATTAATAAAACGAGATTACTCGCGCAGAAGCTGCTGGAGGCGTCCCGCGGTAACCGGGAGACGCTCAAGGATCGCTGCAACAACCCCAAGAACGTCCCTCCGAGTAAAGTTAGGGAGGCTAAGGAGGTGAACGACAAGGGGTCGAACAGATCCCAGAGGGCTGCGGTAGACTCGAAGCATCCGGTGAAGGAGAAGGATCCGGAGGAAGCGCGTCCCCGGCCGCCGGTTCGTAGGAGGAAGGAAACGAGGAACGGTGTTAGTCGGGAGGTGAACGGGGTCAGCGACGATGCAGTGAAAAACGGTGGTAGGGAAAGCTCGAAGAGCAACGCGGAGGTGGACGAAGTCGACGGCTCGTCGGCTAACGAGAAGCACGCGGATACCGTGAACGAGGAAGAGAAGACGAAACCGAGGGAGCTGGACAGGCCGGACATACTGGACGGTTTGCTCAAGGAATCCGATAAACAGCTGGCCGACCTGAGATCCGACTTGCACGAGCGCGGCAGGTCACGTAGTCACTGGAGAGGATTCGTGCAATCCATGAGGCTGCACGACGTGGAGCTTCATTCGGACAGCGAGGACCAGAAGAAAGGTAAGCGACTCGAAGTACTTACTGTCCGTTATACAAGGGCAAGGAGTTCCTTGTGTTTTGTTTATAATTTGCATCGGTTTCGTACAATCGGCGAATAGTAAATCAGTATTGAAAGTGAGACGAAACAGTGAGAACTGACGAGTAGCCTCGCGTTCCTTCCAGAGCTTCTGTGCAACGAAGAACACATCGCAGATGGTAGATAGGTTTGGAATAGGGGACGATAGATAAGGGTGGCTACCGTCGGTTGGACAGCTCAATTACCTGGCAAACGGTTTGATCCTGTTATACGATACGCGTAGCTTCGCGCTCGAGAGGCGATCAGTCCCGTGAAATATTGAAACAGAAACCCCTCGATTCGTGTACGATTTCTATCGATGTTGTAAAAAATATCATCGATGCTTCATTAGAAAACGACGGATACAACGAGGGGACTCTCGAGTGGAAGGGATTAAGTAAACGAATCGCCGGATTCGAATTCGAAAGCCGGAAATTTCGTGGAAACCGGGCGAAGGGGGGACGAAGGAGGTCCACGGGTTCTAAATTTTAATTACCGCTTCGAATCACGACCACGCAGGAATTCCACTCGGCCCACGGGAATGATGTCTCAATGGTCCCAGGAGGGCGAGCGTCCACGTGCGTGTAAAGCGCTGATTAACGCACACGGGCACACCGGGCCCGGCGTTAAGTGAGATTTATTGGAATTTCTGCTGGCCATTTCGATGACCCCCCAGCGACGCTCGCGTTCTCTCTTCGTCTCTGTTCCTCTCTCTCTCTCTCTCTCTGTTTCTCGTTTGGCTCGGTTTAAGGGGTGCGTATCACGAGCCGGCGGATTGGATTAGCAACGTTTGCCGAGGTGTTTAAAATTACAAGCCGGCGTGGCCATTAATCCCTTCGCCCTAAGGCACCCCTATTTTTAGACGTCTCCCTCCCCGGGCCGCTCCGCTGACGCAGGTCAGGGTAGCCGGTACCTAACATATGTCCCGACATATGGATTTGCCCGGAGGAGCAGACAAAACGCTGCCCTCTTCACTCCGTAACTGCGGGATCAAGCGTAAACTGCAACTATTCAAAGCCTTTCTATTATCGTACCGCTACTTACGGAGGAACGTGGCGAACCAACGTGCGCCGGTTTCGATGAGACCTCGCTGGAAAATCGCTCTTAACCCTTCGCGGGCGAGCGTCGACGTTCCGGCGAGATGGAATGCTCGTATTCGAAAAACTGAGTCGTAAATGAGCAATTTAGTTATTCGAACGATTAGAGATCTGCGCGTAGCTTCCTTCTTATCTTACTTTAGCAATCGATGTAGAATTTAGCTTCATCTTCTGAAGGTTCTGTATATTTCGAGGAATCCTCAAAGTACTTTCAAGTATTCTTTCCATTGTTCGTCATTCGTGTTAACCTCTTACCTCGGAATAACGCCTGTCACACGCGATTGCGATCTAAGACTAAAACCTTTGGAGTATCTCCTTCCGAGCATTTTGCTCGTATTCGATTTATACAGGTGAAGTATGAATATAACATTATCATCGTGCTACTGTAATTAGCAGAACAGTATAGGAAACTAGCTTACGATCCGTGATAGCAAATTACGAATAATTATTGCGAATATTATCTATCTAAAGCATTATCTAAATCGCTGAAAACTCTCGTGGCCGGCGGTGCGTTAACGGAAATCTGGAATACGCGTACGAGTAACGAGGTATCGAATTAAACGGTTCTGCCATGACGCACGCTCGTTTCCTCCGCACAGTCGCGGAGCCGATTTTCTCGATTCTCACGCCACCGGCACACGAACCATCTAATTTCTCTCCGCGGCGATCGCGATCATTCACCTTGATTCCGCGATGAAAGTCCCAAGCCGGCGAACGCGCCTCGCCGCGCGTACGCCGGCTCTCGTCCGGATTTTTTTCCTCCGCCTTTCGGCGCTCGGCGTTCCCTTTATCTGACCTTTATCTCTCTTACATGTGGATTTACTCTATCTGCCCGTCTACGTGCGTGCCCGTGTCAGATAGGTGCACGAGAACGTTTACTAGCGCCGGAATTCCTGCTCGGAACTGCTTTATCGCGTTACAGTTTCGGGCACACTTGTACCACCGAAAGGGAAAGGGAGAGATAGCGGGCCAAGGTCCGCCTTCGAAGAAGAGACCAAGAAGGGTCTGTATTTTTGGTTGCGTTATCGGTAATGGGGAAATCCGTATACGTGCTCTTTGCGCGATCGGCTGAATCGAACGCTTTACGATCTTTCGACGCGTTTATTCGATCGTGCGACTGGAAGACGGTTTATTGTAGATGAAAATGTAACCATTGGGGATGTGTTACTCTAAATGACTATTGATAGAAGATATTCTCAGGCAATATTCTGATGGTATTGTTGAAGAAAACAATAGTGGAATACATGTAATTATGTACATTTTATTATAATATACGAGTCGCTCAGAAGCCAATGCGGTTGAGTCTAGAAAATAGAAATTGAAACGTATTCAGAGATGAATAAATCTTTGAACAACTGCGTCCTTGTTGAACTATTGCTAGTATCTTATTGAACAGTTACTGATATCTTAATAAGAGGATAGAATTGTCTGGCAGATGCACGTTTCGTCACCCGACCGGAGAATCCCATGGAATCGTCGAAAATATTCAGACAGCCGAGAGTAGAATTTCGTGACGATCGTCACGAGAAAGATTCACGCGAACGATACTTTCGCGTCCGAGCGAATCGCGTGCCGGGTCGTTTGCAACATTTTAGCATTGCTGAATTCCATCCCATCATCGGGAACACGGCCGCACACTTTCGCAGCTTATCCCGTGGAGATGTTCTCACGGACATTAAACGAGGAAAGTTTCGTAAACACGAAATATCCGCGTGCGCTCTCGGGACGATTTGTTTACTCTCCGACGACGAGTGTCGTGCCACTGGCTACATCAGGTTTACCCACTTACGAGGAGAGGGCCACACAGAAACATCTCTTTTCGAACGAAACCCTGTGCAAGTTGTAGTACGTGTCTAGAAACGAGAAACCCTCGAGACTTTTTCGACGATGGTCCTCCGCTTTCGGAGAAAATAAGTTTCAAGTTGGCATGTTACTGTAATAAGGCGATAAATAATAAAAGTACTTTATTTTCAAAAAATGTTCCCCCGGCCATACGTAAATATACAATAGTGCCTTATTGGCGAAGGCTGACAAAATACATAAAATATTGCATATTACAGCGTGCTTATTAATAATCTTATGCAAGTGTGGCTATTATAGAGAATGGTTCATAAATAAAAAGAGAAAAGATATCAATTTAGTGGCGAAAGTAAATACGCCGAGGGGTTAATTTCCTCAATTTCCATTTCCTTGATTTAACATTGGCTTCCGATCGACTCGATCGATCCAATAATTCGATCCTCACGTTGATCTTAGAAAAAGTACTAACGATCCATATGCGCAAAGGGAATCGATATTGCAAATAAGATTTTTCATTCAATGTCAGAAGAAAAGACGTTTGCGCGTCTCGCCGCGCGCGAAGGGTTAAAAGTCCAATGACACGCGACCAGTTTGATCAGGCTCCGCGAATCTTGTCGCGCATCGCGGCGCACGGGTGCCGCCTTTACCCGCATTCGATTTGCGCGGCTGCGATTCAGAAAAATGGTTACGCAAAAAGCTGTGTTAATCGCTGAACGGGTCTTGCGTACATTTCATCTTGCGTCACGGTTACGGGGAACGCGAGGAGCGTTAAATATTTATGAAACGTCGGCGCTCCTGGAACCGCGGCCGGGGGAAAAGAAATTACCCGCTTTCCACGGTTTTCGTTCCGTAGGTTTTCTTCGGCTCGTATCGGCTTCGTAGAATCCTCGCTCGCTCGGAATGCGCCACGCCGATGAGAAACACGGACGCGCCGCGGAGTTATTTCGACCGTCTTTTACATACCTCCGGCCAACAATTTTATTATCCTCCGACGATTAACGACAGGGAACTTCGGTTCAAGCGTATTAATTTCGAAGGTTTCAACGAACCCGCGGAATTACGACTATCCGAGAAGCCTTTTTTCGCCTGGCGATCCTTGCACCGCTGCACTCTTCGTTCGGAGAAAAAGGGGTGGGATTCTTTTCGGTTCCCTCGACGATTGAAAGAAACATTTCAATTATGTTCATCGACAGCTGTGATACATGGAATTATGTAACAATGGGTTAACAGGAAGCTAATGATATACACTCCGACGAATTTCCTTGAAATTCTGTTGCATTTGAAGGTAATCATTTCCACTGAATTGTTTTCCGAATTTCTAATACTAGATTTACGGGCGTTTATTTTATACTTCATTACATATTTTAAACACTTAATATCTAGCGTTGAAATATTTTGCTGATAAGTTTTTGTCAGAAATCCGACTCAACGATACAACACAAGTCGATGAATCGTTCTGCCAATTTTGTCGGTTGCCCTCCGCGAAGCGTGCTCGAAAGGCCAATGCGCATTTTTCCCGATAAACGTAATCGTTTGTTAACAATCGAGACACGGCCGGTTCATCATCTCCGTGTCCGTGCGGGGATTACAAATGGCCCGCGGCGATCGGCGAACCGGAAGGCCGGAGCGGACAGCGTCGAAACACAATAGCCCGCGGTCTCGATAAGGATTCCACGGGCGATCGGTCGATCGATCGGTGCATCTATGCATCGGTGACGACGCGACCAAAAATGTATGTACTGCGATACTCCGATTAGCAGCTGGGATATGCTCTGATATGAACATTTGAACCGTCTTTGCAAAATTCCTTTGCTAAATCTCTAAGCGTGAATTTATTAAGATTTCAATTGGTTGGAAGTATCTGTATTCTTGCAGTAACTCTAAAAGCAGGAACCAGCTTGGCCAGGTGTTAACACTAGATTCACGCAACTCGTCAGTTTGACGAATATTAAAATTTTCAAACATAATTTAATAACAGTTTAAGTCAATTCTGAGGGATGCTATTATGCGAGTGCATTTATAATGCTCTGTCCCTGAAACCCCAATTT